CGCTACTCGCTGGAATACAGAAAATTTTGCAGCTAGTTTTATGTAATAATGGGAAAATATGTTGGTGCATATTCCACCAAGCTAAGACATCAAAGTTTGAATGGTATGCAATATTTAGATTCGAGTACCCGGCTATTTCCTGTCCTATAATGTCTGTAGTGCTATCAACTTGCTGATGCTCAATATATTCAGCAAATTCATCTTCTTCTGCTTCTGTGATGTCAGTAGTAGCAATACTTTCTGCACGAAAATGTTTCATTATGTTTTTGCATTCATTTATTATAGTATCCTTTTCAGTGTCTGTGAACTGCTTTAATTTGTTTGTGGGGGGGAAGAGAAATAGGGCTATGTTGTGATATTTAGATAAATTCGAAAGGATGGTAATTGAAATTTGGGTTTGGAGTTTTAGCTTGAGATCTTGAATATTTTCAATATCTGTGTAATCGATTTCACAGATTTTGTGTAATTTATTTAAATTTGGAAGAATTAAATGTATGGTTGGCCGTTGAGAAGCTTCAATTTTTTTTGACACAGTTTCAAATGCCTCTAGTATACGGACTATGGAACCTACCTCACTTACATTAATTCCTTCAATTCTGGCTATTTGATTTTTATCTCTTAATATGGTTGTTATCTCTATCCAATTAATTTCAATTGATTTTAATAGGTAATAGACTGTATTCCAGCGAGTAGGGCAAAAGCTTTTTAATGTTAATCCTAATGAAAAGTTAATACCGGATTTCTTAAAATATTTTACAAGCTTCGTACACATGGAAACAATATTTCCTACCGCGGGGACAGCATCAATAGCTTTCTCTATAGCATTGTTGAGCAGGTGGTTAGCGCAATTAATTTTTTCGAAGCCGCAAAATGCTTTCACCATATTTGACCCGCGATCTGTTACTATTACGGGATTATCCAATTCTAAATCGCATCCGAATTGAGTTAGTATTTCCACTATTTTGGCTCGAATATTTAAACCTAGATACATGTAATGAAAAAAATATAAATAAATAAAAGTAATAATAAAAAAAATAAATAAATAAATTATAATAACAAACCAGTGCATGTCGTTTCTTTCATAGATTTCATGGCCATTAAACGCTCCACAAGAACCCCATCCTTTATGTAATGCACCGTACAAGACAAATATGACGATTTTAAAAAGCTATCCGTCCATAAGTCAGTGGTAATAGCATAACCGAAGGATTTATATTTTTGTATTTCGGCTTTTATTGGGCCAAAATGTGACTCATACAATGTTATAATATTTCGGGATATTGTTGTTGGGTGTGGCAGTAATTTGTCTACGTCGACATTGGAACCAAACGTTGCGCCAACATTAATTAAAAATGATGAAAACTTTTTTAGACCAGAATCGTCTATCATTTTTAGAGGGCGACAGTTTTTAATAACCCATTCAGTTGCGATAGTTACACATTCCTGTTTTGTTTCAGCATTTACTTCGATAGCTAAAGATTTGCGTATTTCTTTCGCGTTCACTTTATAACATTTATGTTTGACTAAATTCGACGTGCTTCCTGTAAACTTAAAAACAGAATAACACATCTTACAGGCTACAGTGTCAGCCAATTGCGTTCCATTTTCTTTTTCAATTACTGAGAAATAATTCCACACTTCGCTACGACCTCTCTTCGCAGTCAGTTTATATATGCCACTCAGAAGATGTTGCTTAATATCCTCTGCGTTTTCAGGAACCTACATACATATGTACATATGTTTATTTCAAGTCAATTTAAACAACCACAGTTTACATACAATTTCGATAGAATTATTTTCTCCGTCCATAGCTGAAAGGTCTGCTTGCTGACAACGTGTCGAAGGAATGAACTTTTTCTTAATACTATTAAGCATTGTAAGTAGACAAAACAAACGGTAAATTTTCGAATTTACATTGTACATAGGCACCAAGACTAACGCACACAGGCGTTACATATAGCAAGGGATTGCAACAGTGTGTTTATAACGGGATCGTCGCGAAGGAATTTCAATTTTCGCTCACATTTTCTACAGGCATATTACATAGGCAGCAAGACTAACGCACACAGGCGTTACATATAGCAAGAGATTGCAACAGTGTGTTTATAACGGGATCGTCGCGAAGGAATTTCAATTTTCGCTCATATTGAGAGAGGGAGATAGATAGAGTACCAAAAAAGATTAGCAAATATTAGTGTCTCATACGAGAATAAACAGCAAATACATAAGCGATTGGCATAAGCATCCTGGCATTTTTAAATAGTACATAAGTATGAATTTTATGACCCGCATAAATCTTTTTGGTCCGCTTAGTAAATTCTGAATGGTCAATTAGATACTTTGTATTATAATTAATTAATATAAAATTTAATAAGATTATGGATAGATCGAAACATAACATAATGACATGAAAACACTAACATGCATGAGCAAGGCAAACCCTTTCAAAAGTTCGATATACTCTCTAAATGGAAAGGGCAGAGAGAGAGAAGGAAAATAAGAAAAAATAAGTGCGCAACCAGGCCTCATATTAAAATGCGTGCTTTCTGCTTGACCGCTCGCAGCGCACTGATTTTGGCATTAGATTTTTTCACTGCTCAACCCTCAAGCGACGGAGCCGAACAAATACGAAGTGTTGACACGAAGATATATGCATGCAGAAACTCAAGTGCCTCGACGCCTGTATGCTTCGGTTAAATGTTGTATTCCTATTTACGTCTTATTTATTCTCATCCTTTTTACTTAATGGAGTGAGATATGAGGCATTGAGTCCATACGAACTCACATTCTATCAACTAGTTTGTATTCCCTCATTCACTCACTCAGTCTCAATTCAAGTGGACTCAATTTTGCTAGGTTATGAGTGCTGCCATGCAGCTCTCTAATATCTACTTAGCAGCAAATATTTAGCCCGCAGTTAGCGTCAATTTGTTCCGTTTTAGCCACAAATATTGAATTTTTGTTGCCTTCTATTTAATTTATTTAGACTGATTAGCTTAAAATATACGCAAAATGACGAAATGAAGATCAAAAATCTATGCTTAATTAGCAAATCGAAGGCATTAAGCATTATGTCACATATATCTCAATTAAAGGAAGACACTTGGAATTAGCATAAGATTTTAACGGATGTTGGATAGCGAATGAAAAAGAGTTATGCCAAATATTGATGTACGTTTATACCCCATATTTATCATAAGGCGCCTGTTCGCTCGTTGATTTGTTTATTATTTTCTTGTATATAGTTATAAAAGGCACGGTAAAAGATAGATCAAATATTAAAACGAAACTAATCCATTTAGACTAAGCCCAATTACCTGTAGTGCTGTACTTTATAAACGAAAACGAATCTTTGATATAAAATGCATACAAATTATATACCATAGTTACTAATCAAATAAACTAAATGTAAGGCCTCACAATTACCGAAACACGATGCAAAAATTATAGCATGGAAATACGTAGGATACAAACTACTCTGACGAAGAACAGAAGGAGCATTCTCAGTTGGATTTTTAACATATATTATATTTGATATATTTGATTCAATGTAATTTTATGAATACAACGTGAATAAAGTATTAATTGAAACCAACACATTGTTTTAAAGTCGTTTAAATTAACAATATTTATATTTTCATGTATGCGTAAATAACATATGTATTATAGATCGTAGACTTAGCGCAAAAGTATGCAACTTTTTGTCCTCAAAGCTTATGCTACTTGCCGCTAGGTGGCGTGGGCAACAATATTTAAACATGGCATTGATAGTTCTTATAGATTTTTGATTTAATTTAACATCAATTAACATCTTAAAGTTAAAATAGGGCATCTTAACATTAATTTACACTGTCAAAAAGTGAATAGAATTCGTTTTATTAGTTTTATAGAATTCGATGGAATGAATCATCAAAAGGTCAACAAAAAAAAAGCTTTGTTAAACATTTCGTTTGTGCACCGCTAGAAGTTAAATAGGAAACTAATCAACATTGTATTTCAGCCAATCAGCTTATAGACTCGGCATAACTTAAAGCAAAATACATTAGTTTCACAGCAAACACTGTTAAGATATTTACCTAGACACTTCGATTAGTCGGGCACCACTTCGTACATGTTTACGCCCTTCTTGAGCAAATAGCCGCCCAAATTGGCGAGCTCCACCAGATTAGAGATGCCGGTCATAATGCCCGCTCGCGTGCCCATCTCCTTCAGCTCCTCGAACTCAAAGATGGAGCGACCCAGCGCAGCCGATCGCATCTGCATCATGCGCACAAAATTTTGTAACTGTGATTTTTTGCTAGAGCTACTTGGTGCTGCTGATGCTTGGCCAGATGCTGCGCCGAGACGGGTCTGAGCCATGCTCTCTGTCACCACAGCAATCACATCTCGCACGTGCAGCGACGTCACAGTGCTGGCCAAATCCAGGCGGGCCCGTGCCTGCGAGAGGCTGATCAAGCCCAACAGCTGCCTGCAAAGAAGATGTCAAGTAAAGAAAACTTTAAAAGAGAGAACCAAAATTCTTTACTTATGCTCTAGTCGCTTGCTTTGCCTACTTTTCTTGACCCTTTCAATTTTAACTATGATTAATTATGACTCCCGGATTTTCGCCAAACCAAAACCGTTTCCAGTTATTACTATTAAAATATGACATAAACACCAGTTTAGGTTTTGGTACATGTTATCGTTATTATCATATTTGGCAGCTTGTTGATATTTTTTCTGTATCTTATTTGGTTATAGAACCTCTGATCTATTCTATATATGTCAAATGAATGGGCATCAAACTCGTTTCTATAAAGCTGCCCGCATGCCCTTTAAATCAGCTGCATGTGGGCGCGCATCGAACATGTTCCAACGCAATTTAACGGAAGACTTATATCAAAACATCATCTGCTACAGATGGGACAGGTGGTCAACTGGTTGGCTGGCTGGCTGGCTGGTTGGGAGCTTCGGTGCTCTGCCTGACAGCACGCACCTTTCATTTGAATGGATCAATTTCGTTGTATTTCATTCTCGGCTCGCACGTTGGCGTGCACGGTTCGGTACAGCGCGACTTTCAACTTCGAATTTCGAATACAACTTTCGAGCTCGTGGAAAGGCGCATCGAATGCAGCTACTATCGGAAGCGTAGCGCAATTTCCTAACAGTTGGCATTGAAGCGGCTTTTGTTTAATGCCCAGGTTTTCGTTGATGAAATTTGAGTTGCCCAGCGGCGAGAGATTTTTTTGCTTTCGGCCGAGTGTCGCAAGTTTCTCAAAACAAAAACAAACCCGAAAATATTCAAAGTGCAGCATATACAATTAAGTAGGTGTCGTTGTCGTTGTTGTATTATTATTATTTTTATTTTTATTACTGAGTGCATTGTGGCTAAGATAAAGAGATAGAGAGACGATCATGTGGCTGCTAAACATTGCCATCGCCTATTGCGTGCTCCTGCCAGCCGCGCGATGCTTCGAGATGAACAGTAAGTAATCCGTAACATCGAATTAAGTGTTAATGCTTAATATTATAATGGGGATTTTTATGGTTTTTCAATTTTGTTTTGAGCCCGACTCAGTAAATAAAACCCATTCGCACGCAATGTGTTGACGGGGCGTTGTCATCGCATTAGAAACAATCCCTAGTACAATAGGATAGCCGACAGTGTTTGTGTAATGCCTAGAAATTGCTCACATTATATGTGATATAATGTGTTAAAAATGTCAGGTTTGCAATGCAAATCCATTTGTCTTAGCAATTACTTTCTGAACGAAATTGAATACAAAATCCCATATGGAATTTAAGCACTTTATGGAGACATATATACTATTAAATGTCTCAATAATCGAAAATGAATTTCTAAACAATTTCTGCCCACATCATCCATTTTAAGTTTTATCCTGTGATCAATCAGGTTATTCACAAATGCAATTAAAATAGCAATATAATTGTTAAATATTCCCCAAGATGCACAATTCAAACTCATCTTCAAGGCCTCACATTCCAAACGCATAATTTATAAACAGTGACAATGGAAGATTTCGCCCAGATAATTAAAATTGTTTATCAACGTCAGGTGATTTGGCAGATTCGCACTTGATATAAAATCAATTTGCGATCATTACGATATCTGTGAGTGGTCAAAATAAATTCTCGAATGATTCCATCTAAATTTGTTATGCTCATCAAATGTTGTATCTCAACTGTGAGCATCTTGCTGTTTGGGCTGTATTCTTGTCTTGCCCAAAACGCAGTTTCATTGAACCGATCCAAAACTAAATTTCCAAGTTCCCCCACACATCATCAGAACATAACACGTAATAATTGTTTATGTTCCATAAAAAGCTTTTACCGTAGATACAAATTCTTCTTTGTAAAGGTTTTGAGACGATTTTAATAGTAACGGAATAATTAATAGTAATTCGACTACACCCTAAATCATACAGGTTCTATTTAGATTTTTAATCAGATTATAACGAATAATAAATCCAATTAGTAAGTACTTTTCCCATTTTTAACCGAGATAAAAGTTGCCAAAAAGATAATTTGAATAATTTGTCTACTCCGCTTGTCATCACAAAGCAAACAGCGGACGATTTACTCTTTTAATAAATATAAGCAACTTTTTGCACTCGGAATGAAAGCCGGCTAAAGTCAAGGACCTCAAATGTGAGTTCAAGCTTTACTCTTAGACGTTGGCGTTCTCAAGTGCAATAGCAAAAGATTTGGCATTACTGCATGATTGAGCATAACTAATGTAAGGTCTTTGGAACACGATAAAGAAGTTCGTGTGCAAAGTCTTTTGAATTGGGAATATAATTTTGTATGTATTATACTTGTTCTAAATAATAATAATTTAAAAGACATTTTAATTCAATCAATTAAATCTCAAGTTCCAGTATCGACATATCCAGATGAAGCAATACAAATTCAGGTTCGTGCTCTAAGTCATTAGCACTGAGTGGGGATTTCGAACAACAACATCGGGTTCTAGAAAATACATTTCTACCAAGGTTAAACACCTTTGTATTCAAGTTCAAGCGCAAGCCTGAGTCGTAAGGCAGGTAAACGAGTTTCCTTTTACTTGACTGATCGCATAGAAAGATTGGGCTAGTCGAGGCTACCTTGTTCTTGCGATTTTTTTTGGCATTCGTTATAATGCAGAGAAACTAGTTTTGCACCGCTGACTCATGCAACTGAGTTCCTTAACGGTTACTAATTGGCTCTGCTTTCACAGTGACGCAGTACTACGAAATGCCGCAGCTATACGACTTTGATGACTACGATCGCTGCCTGCAGGAGTATGGAGCCGGGACCTACTGCTTTGTGCGCGCAGAGGTGCAGCCGAATAGCACAGCGGCCGCCTGGCGTGCCATCCAGGAGATCTCGAAATATGACAGACATCACTTCGATCATCGCCAGCTCTACTTTGGGCTCTGCCTGCACAAATGCGAAGCGCAGCTGGCTGAACTCGATGCCAATGCCCGGCAGAAGTTGCAGACGGGCCTTCTGACGGACAATGCCAAGGTGAATACTACCATAGAAATATATCAATATTAGATTAGACAGTGAAAAACCAAACCAACCAATGTTGTTTGTCTTGAATGGTAATAAATATTAATGAATTAGCAACTTCAAGAATTGATATTCTAACAGCCTTAGAGCTTGGCTTAAATTAACACAGCCGTATGAAAATGCGATCAACGGGTCTCTAAGCTGCATTTTGATCAATGAAAGATCTCGCATCATTTAATTTAGTTTAGCACCCTTGGCCAAACTGAAGAAAAATCAAGATTTCAAAATCTCCAACAGCAGCCAATAGAAATAGAAGAAAAAGACAATAAAAATAAAAACTAAACAAAACGAAACGAAATCAAAGCATTGAATGAAACCCATAAAATTTTTAACAATAAAATTTAAACGCCAATAAAATTCTAAACGAATAGGTGATACAGTCTATGATAATTGTGATAATTGATTGAAACACCTTTTTAATAATCTCTTACCTTCTGTTTAATCTCATTTTCTGTCACTAGTAGACCAATTATTCATTTTGCTTTCCCCAACATTCGTTAGCTAAACGGCTGGCTGTAGATGCTTATAGCGCAAGTTTATTTCTTTTGTTGTTTTATTATTCCTTTCAGCTGTGATTAGCTGACTCAAAAAATGTATAGACTCTTTAGCTTCGAGTTTAATGACAATCAAATAAAATTTTAATCAGTTTATTCAATTTAAATGTCGGCCAAACTGGCTTTTGGAATAATAAATGATTAAATTCAATATTAAATGTAAATGTATTAAGTAAACATATAAATTCTAAAAAAAAAAAAAAAAAAACTATTGAAGTATTTGACTTAAAGTGCTAGAATTATTTAGGGAGAGGAATATGTATTATATTATATTATAGTATGGTCTTTCATACTATTTTTAGGTATTTATATATATTTTATAAATTCAATTAAGTTTCAATATTCACTTATTTGAATTTATAAAATATATATAAATACCTAAAATATAGTATGAAAGACTATAATATAATATAATATAATACATATATTGAAGAAAGAAAATCAAATATATATATGTAATATATTACATTAGTCATGCCTTTTTTATGTTGTAGAGGAAGCTATAATTTATAGAAATCATCCATCTCAATATCCATTTTACGCCAACTAGATCAGTGAAGTTTCTTATCGGGCATCATTTAGGTGGGTCTGCTGCATAATTAGACAAAGCAAGAAATTCCAAACCTTACTGATTGACTGAATGCCACTTGCTGCAGATGCCAATAAAATGCAGTTTCACATTTTGTTGGTTATACAAAAACGCGTGGGGTAAAAATAAAATAAATATAAGATAAATGTGATTCCAACTCTAATGTGGACCAGTTGCATTTTGTTCAGGGCCAAGGCTGTGACATTTAATGTCCAATTTGATGGCTATTTGATGGGGTCTACACGCCTTTGTTTATCTTGTATCTTTTGTTTTCTCGCGCTGCAGGTGAACGTGTACCTGCAGCTCTTTAACATGGAGGCAAGCAATCGGGCGCGTTACAACAATCTGACCAACGCCTGCCTCAACTGGCGCCTACAGCAGCGACAATACGAAGTCCAGGCCCGGAGTGTTGTGGAATACTGTGATACGGCTGCAACAGCTGGTAAAGTCAGCGATGAAGGTAGGTGCCACAGAGAACCAGGTGACCTTCGATTGCCTTTCGTTTGATTGGATATCTCTCAAACAGAGAAGAAGAATCTATTTACCAAATAAATTCCGTCCGAATCATCTGGTTATACTTTTACATATTTCTTCCTTTCCCTTCACAGATGATCTGTGGAATGTGAGCTTCTATGTGCTGGTCTTTGTTCTCATTCTGCTGGCCTGCCTGAGCAGCCTCATCGACTTGCATCTGAAGCGTCGTCGTCATGACAAAATGTTGAAGGAGCGCGATCATTACAAGACGCCGCCTCGCAGCCTGGTCACGCGTCTGCTGCTCACTTGCTCCATAGCTAGGAATTGGTATCGCCTGAACCAGGAACCGAATGGCAAGATCGGACGCGAATTGCGTTTTCTCGATTGCTTCAAGTTCTTTGCCATGTTCCTGGTGATCTTTGCGCACACCAATTGGGTAATCTATGAGAGCGCCATCAGCAATCCCCAAGATCCGGAACGCCTGCTGCACACAGCTGCCGGCACACTCCTCATCTCCGGCTCCCTAATCACAGTCACGTTCTTCGTGATCAGCGGCCTGTTGCTGACCATCAACTGGCTGGCGGTGACTCGCGCCTTGGCGGATGACAAGCTTGGGACATGGAGTTTCGGCAAATATGCTGCGCTCTTTGTCAAGTTCAATGTCTTTCGCTATATCCGATTAACGGTGCCCTATGGCTTCGTGGTGCTGCTGAGCGGGGTTTACTTTGAGAATGCCGGCGGTCCGCTCTGGCGGCACATTTACCAACGGGAACAGCTCGCCTGCCGCAAGAACTGGTGGACCAATTTGCTCTTCATCAACAATTATGTGGGCACCGATGAGCGGGTGAGTAAAACTCTCAGAATTGATATATAGAAACAATCTGTTTATAATGTGAGAGATTAAGTTTTGTTTCGTAAGATCTCTCACAACTCTAGATCTAGTGATAACCTTTGATATCTTTTCGTATTTGCAGTGCCTGCTGCAGGGCTGGTATTTGGCCTCGGACACGCAATCCTTTGCCTTGAGCCTGGTGGTGCTGATGCTGGGCCATCGCTTTAGTCGCTGGAGCAAGCAGATCTATGGCATTGTCCTCGGCATCTTTATGGTGCTGCCAGCTGTGCTGACCTACGTCATGGACTATTATCCAGTTTTTCTGCCAACTCCGCAGTAAGTAATTAAAGTGTGCATTGATTAAATTCGCATTATTAATTTGTCTTTCGGCCTTGCAGAACACAGAAGGACTCGTTTATTGGCAATACTCAGTTTACTGAATTCTATACATCATTCCAAATGAATTTTGGCTCCTACTTCTGCGGCGTCCTGGCGGCCATTGCTTACGATCAGCTATCCGTGAGGCAGTACAAACTGCGTGAGCTGCGCAGCTTCCAATTTATGTGGTTCACGCTGATTCCAATCGGTGTTCTCTGGCTCTTTACGGCGCATCCCATCTACCAGCATTACTATGCGGAGACGCCACGCCTTTGGGGCGCCCTCTATGCGACCGTGCAGCGCAACCTGTGGGGCTTTGGTCTGGGCATATTCGTGGTGGGCATGGCCGCCAAAGTGGGATGTAAGTACAGACATGAATTTTTCAATTGTAATTGTAATTAAGTGATATGATTCGCCAACTACGTTTAATTATTCGCAATTATTATACCCTAAACCCATTGAAAATGGGAAATCAGGGTATAATGGTTTTGTGAAAAAGTATATAACGGACAGAAGGAGGCGTGGTAGACCCCATAAAGTATATATATTCTTGATCAGTGCTACGAGCTGAGTCGATATAGCCCTGTCCGTCTGTCTGTCCGTCCGTATGAGTGCGTCGATCTCAGAAGTTACAAGAGCTAGAAAGCTGAAATTTGGCATGCATACTCGTGTGTACCATACGCAGTACGAGTTTGCTTTATTTTTTCGATAAATTTTAAATAATTGAATTTTAATTATTAACTTTATTTTCATCATAAATCTGATTTTATTTTTATTTTTTCCAATATTTATATCATTTCTCTAATTATCAATTATTTTGCTTTCCAAGGGATCATACGCAAATTTGCCTGCCTGCCAATCTTTCGGATTTTGGGACGGCTCACATATGGCGCCTTTATAGTGCACCTCTTGGTGGCTCGAGTGGCCCTCGCTACGGTGCGTGAGCCCATTTACTTTGGCACCGGGACTATGGTAACTATTATTTTATTTTATTTATTTTTATTTTATACCAACATTTTTTATATATTCCTTTCAGTTTGCATATATATTTTACGTGCTATGTGCCTCTTATTTGGGTTCCCTTGTTTTGGCTATATTTTTGGAGTTACCCGTCTCGTCATGTCTTAAACTAATGCGCTAGTCAAGGATGAAAATTAAATTTCTGATGGCACTTGTTTAAAGCCTAAAGTGAACTTAATCAAGCTCAGCTTAAAAGCTTTTAAATAATTGTGTTATTTACAGCTTGGTAAATTATTAATTCGAAGAAGCTTCATTTAATTAGATTTTTTGTATATATATGTATAATCTGGGAGCTTTCAGCAAGTGTCAGCATTACTTACACTATACTTTTATTTATGCTAAAGATTTTACTTATAAAGAAACCTAGACTTAAGTAACTTAACCTTAATAAATTCGATTATCAAATTGATAAATCAATTTGAGTGGATGTAGGTATTGTAACGTATCCTCACAGCAAATCGGTAAATTCAGAGGTGTATTAAAAATACATATATATTATATGAAAAATTTATATATGCATATCTATGAATCAATCTATAAATTCCGAATGGGCGTTCAATACACTAAAATACAATCAATTTTTAAGGTATATAAAAGTAGAAGCCAAAATGATCTCTACATCATTTGGCTATCGGGGTTATCTAATCGAAGCTAGCCAGCAAAAATGCCGCCTATTTTTATCCAGCTATTACTTATGTAAGTGTTTCTCTATTTGATACTTCATAATGAAAAAGTTTTTGTATTAGAGAGCATCAAAACGTATCCCGCTATTAAATCGATAATTATTGAATCTAATCGATAATACAAAGAGCATTCAAATTAGTACACCTGCTTCTTCAGGTTTTTTTTTTTTTGTTGTTTTAGCATTGTTTTAGGATACGTAAAACCACTAGACTTACCCCATTCCGATTTGGCTTTGCTCATGCTCCACTTCGCTGCGCCGGCACAGCTCCAGAAAATGTCGCCTGATGGCTTTAGTAGCTGCATCGTTGAGCAGCGGCTTGACATGATGACGGGCATAGGAAATGAATTTCTTAATTAATATCGGTGGTAGCAGATCCAGTTCGCCATGCTCTTGAATGCTATGATCTAATCGTTTATCCAAATCATAATCCTGCTGCATAATGCTGTCATCATCATTATCGTCATCGTCATCTTTCGGCTGAGCAGCGGGAACATCATTCAAATTAATCTCACACATGGAATCGCTTTTCTTGGGCTTTAGTACGAAGCGTGCAGCGATCTGGGATCGCTTTCTGGAGCCAGCGTGCAGAGCTCGCACATGCTCTGTGAGGGATATATCACGGGTCTTTGATGGCCTGTCCAACAGCACGTACACCAAATGAAACTCTTTTAGCAGGGCAGGAGTAATCCGTATATTCTGCAACAGATAACGGGACTGATCGTACTGGCCACGTTGAGGATTGGCACAGGCTATGATCGCTGGTTGCGCGTCGTAGGAGGCAAACGCGCCAGGAAGTACCACATTTAGCTGACCCGCCTGCATGGACTGCAGCAGCAACGTTTGCTTGGAGGCCAACTTATCCACGCCATCGACCATGCAATGCCCCGCCGTATTGGCCGTGAGCAGTGCGCCTGCATCCATTACCCGCTTGTTGCGTCCGGTGAAGTTGATTCCCAATTGATTACCCGCCTGGCTGCCACGCTTGCCGCTAACAAAGCCGCCTCGTTCGGAAATCTGTGCACAATTCTGTAACAGCTTAGATTTACCAATGCCCGGATCGCCGACCAGCAGCACATTGATTTTTTCGCCGAGCAACGACAACAGGCAAGCAGCCTTTGCCATTTCGTGACCGTGCAGCTCCGGAGCCAGGGATTGCACCAGCAGCTTAAAGTTATTGGGCTCCGAGTTGATCATGGAAATGACTTTCAGATCGCGTTCGCTAAACTCCGGCTTAATATGAGATGCCTGCTGCACGCTACACGCTCGCAGATATGCTTGTGTATCACCGCCAGTTGCTGCGCCCGCAGATGTCGCCGGCTGTTCACTGTTGTCGCTCAGCTCTCGCAGCTTTAGGACGCCCGTGACGATAATCTCTTGCCCCACTTGCACAGAATCCACCAGATCGTGACGCAGCTCGATGTCCAGTTCACCAGCAAGCGTATTATCATAATCTGTCAGCAGTGAGATGCTCGTCTCCTCCAAGCGTATGATCTGGCGCACTGAAAGTCGCGTATAGGGCGAGTTGCGCAGCGCCAGAAAGTTGTCCTTGGCACTGCAGAGGGGTTTCATACAGTGATATGGACGCGGTGAGTAGGTGCCACGCTGACGCAGTGACTGTTCTGTCTGGCAGCGTGTGCACCGGAAGGCTTGCCAGGCCAGGCTACAGGTGGGTTCGCCAACACTGCTTACAATACCTCGCATTGCGAACATGCTGTCCACACGAGCGTGGCTTATGCTGCTGATCAGCTCCACTGGCACAAAGTCTTCGGGACGTACGTAAATCTTGCGTGTACGTCCACGTCGTGGTACATACGTATCCTTGGTGGTTACCATGGGCAAAATGCTGTCCGCCGCTTCATCGGCAGCTACATCGAGGCCATTGTTGACGACAACTGTGTGCATGGCCATGGCTACTGTAGACAGTGTACGCAGTGGCTGTTTCTGCAAATCCTCTTTCAGTGTTGGCCACACTAGCTTTAGCTGCTCGTCATTGAGGATGACCGGCGCTGAAAGCTGGAAACATCCACTTTGACGTATGAGTGCTACATTATATATTAGTGGATTACGTTGATAGTGCGCTTCCACAGCTACGATACGCTTAGCCATCTCGCTATCTGCGACGTACTCTTCGCGCATAAAGTATAAACGCCAACCAGGACACGCGCGAGGATTATCAACAAGAAGACTGCGCACCTGCAGTGCATCTTCTGGAGCAACATAATTTTCCGGGCGCAAGTAACTGCAATCAAGTGCCGCATTAGAGGTTCGTTTTCGACCTGCACCGTCATCGGCCCGAGCACGATTCCAGCCTCGCGGCTGTGCAGTGCCTCTGCTAGTGGAATCGTGATCTGCACCCGCCGGGCGATTCCCACCAGCAGGAATGACGCGACCATTTCGTCGAAAATAGAAATAAGGGCGATACCCACCGCCGCCACGCGCTTTTCCGCGAACAAATCTGGAAGCCCCGCGATTTGTGGGTGGACTCATTTCTATATAGAACCAATATCAATTTTAAATCTATTTTGACGCAGGTTTCGCGCTTCGCTTCTTCTTTTAACTGCTCTAATAATTCGCCACGAAAGTATATCAATGAAATTTAAGTCAAATTATCGATGTTTTATTTTAAATTGAATGAATGTCGTAAATATCGATATAACTTATCATAACAAAATTAAATAAATGAATATTTTTATTAATGTTTCTCATTATCATTTGATTGAAGTATCTTCATATCACGTTCCAGCATATCTACCTGTGAGGGTAAGTAGTGCTTAAAAACAATTTTAACCTTAGTTTTTAACTCTAAAAATGTTTCGAGCAACAGTTTTTCCTCCTCCTCATTTTGGGCCTGAAATCCCTGCAACTCGTTAAAGAAATTAACGCATCCGTCAAGTAACTTAACTTGCTTAATTTGTAGTTCAGCCAACTGCTTCTGTACAGCACTGATCATTATTATATGGTCGTCAACACGCGTTGACATGGTGGCAATAGAATCCAACTGCATCTTATGTGGATGAACATTATCTAATGATTCTGTACGTACTGAGCTAATTTCGTTTAGATCATTTTCATCGATACCTGTATTATTAACACATTTCTCCTTCCTGGACTCCGGAACAGATTTAACAGTATTAGCTTTTGACTGCTGTTTTTGCTCCTTTGCTTGCTTCTTAAGCGCAGCCTCGTTAGCTAGCTACAAATATAAATACTTGCTTAGAATGTAAGATCGTTGTATTTTAAATAAATTTTTGTCACCTTCTTTTTAGCAGCTTTCGATTTATTTTTCTTTGCCATTTTGGAAAAGCTCAAAACGCAAAAAGCTGTAAATGAATTCTTATCGTTCTGATATATGAAAATTATTCTATTTACGAATGCAAATATAAATGACAGTAAAATCCCAGCACGCCGTCCGAAAACATTTATAATGATATGCACAAAAGTGTTGTTCTTACAGTAACCGCGCAATTCAAAATGAAATATAGAATACAAATATATCGTAACATATATCGATATTTTATTCATGGGCAATTTTTTGGTATTTCGTTATTTTTTAAATTCGGTTACACTCTTAATACTTTGCAGTGGGTGTTTGCCCAAGTAATTTACGGAAAACCAAATACTTTAGTTAAAAGCCGCAATTTATTTAATCTGAACAATGCCGGTGAGTATTTAGGTTGACTGGCGTACTCCCTAAATGAACTTAATGATAATCATTGGTAAAAACGAGGCTTTGTCAAACATCTCGACCACACACATAGATAGCTACTTATAAAATTCTTATCCATTGTTTACATATTCTCTAGGCATACCACTCGCAAATTAAGGACTTTCGTCAACAGGTAGGCAACATGGCCATTCTACCATTGCGTACCCAGGTGCGTGGACCAGCCCCATCTACGAATACGGAGAATGATATTATTGATGAGTCACTTTATTTCTTCAAAGCAAATGTATTCTTCCGGACATACGAAGTGAAGGTGTGTGTTGGAAAACAAATTAATACAAATATAAAACTAATATATTTAATATGTTGCTTGTAGTCGGAGGTGGATCGAGTTCTAATCTATGTTACACTATATATAACAGAATGTCTTAAGCGGCTGACACGTTGCACTAGCAAGGCCCAGGGTCAACAAGAAATGTATAGCCTAGCGATTTCTAAGTTCGATATACCCGGCGAATCAGGCTTTCCACTAAATTCGGTCTATGCCAAGCCTCAAAGCTCACAGGATGCCGATCTTATGCGCCAGTATATTTTACAGCTGCGCCATGAAACGGGCAATCGGGTGTTAGAGAAGGTATTTAACACCGAGGATGGCAAGCCAAACAAATGGTGGACTTGCTTTGCCAAGAAGAAGTTCATGGAGAAGAGTCTGGCCGGCCCAGGACAATAAATCAAAATGTGTTTTATTCCAATGTCGAATTGTATTATTTAGTATCGATTTTTATGCGAATACAATAACCACAGAAATGTGTACTTTATCAGTGTTACCCGAAGTTCTTTAATTGGAAAAACATTTCTAAACAAAAATCTAATATGTACAGAGAATAATTAGCGGTACAGATGATCGGCTTGAAGGTTGGATGCAATCTCTGATTCCCATTTGTCGCCATTGCACAAGAGCTTTTCCTTGTTGTAAAGCAATTCCTCGTGCGTCTCCGTCGAGAACTCAAAATTTGGACCCTCAACAATCGCATCGACTGGGCAAGCCTCCTATTAATGGAAGAATCATGAACCCCACTCAAAATTATATCCATATGGATAAATTACCTGACAAAAACCGCAATATATGCACTTGGTCATGTCAATATCGTATCGAGTCGTGCGCCTGCTGCCGTCGGCACGCTCCTCGGCCTCAATAGTGATAGCCTGGGCGGGGCAAATGGCCTCACAAAGCTTACAGGCAATACAGCGCTCCTCGCCGCTTGGATACCGACGAAGTGCATGCTCGCCACGGAAACGTGGACTCAGTGGCCCTTTCTCGAACGGGTAGTTAATCGTTGCCGGCTCTTTGAAAATATGTGCCAGTGTTACAGCAAAGCCACGGAACAGTTCGCCAAAGAACATTGAGGTGGCAGCACGATCTGTGATAGCATCCATATCCATGCTCAACTCCTTGTTGTTAACGTAAACATAGCCCTTGGGCACAGGCACTATGTCCTTAGCTTCCTTTTGGGCGGCAAACAGGCGTGCGCCATTGGTGCCAAACATGCGCTGACCTGATTAGAAATCATTATATTATTTGATTCAAATAGTAAACTTGAAATTATTGAAGATTTGTTTTCTCTATGACATAAGGTTACATAACCTCATTCGATTAAATGAACCATAATTGTGTTTATTATATTGTATTAATGATTGACACTGTTCTTTTACTAACCATTACGCGAGAGTGTGAAAATACGTATTGTTAGCGACATGTTTGCGGCACACAAATTATTTGTCGGAAAACAAAATTACAATTGTTTTGTTGTGGTATTTTTGGCCGATAGACAAGCTCTCTGCCAGGGATGAAACGAGTCTGCAGATTATTTCGATAAGTAATAAAATGTCAACTGATTATCGAATGTGACCGTCGGACCGATAAGTATTTGTTTAAAAAGCAAGACAGTCAGTCAGTCAGTCACGCAAAGTCGAAGCATCCTTTTGTTCGAAAAATTCTTGAATATTCTTTTAATGATAAATTAGTGTAATAATATATGCCAATTACAAGTACTGCGTATATTTAAACATAAATCAGTTTTTTTGTGCCGAACTGAAGGTCAATTACATTCGCATTCCAAACGGTGACGACATCACTATTTTTGTTTACAATTTCATAAGCAAACGTAAGCATGTCGGATCTCTCCTATCTTGAAACGATTTCCAACAAAGAGCTGCACGCTAAATGCCTGGAATATGGACTACCAAATATACCGGTCACCGATACTAGTCGCAAAGTAATTTTGCGTCGTTTGCGCAACACTATTTTAGGCACACAAAACAAAAAAACTGCTGCCACAAAGTCGCCAAGACGTGAAACCGTACACAGCAGTAAGGCGACACCGACAGATGTCACAAACGCGAATGAGCCGCGATCGGCAGATAAAGTTCCGAGGCGCAACAACAACATAAACAACACTCGGCGAACTATTGCTGCCACGCCTCAGGAATATTATCCGCTAGAAAGCTCATCTGTGCGCTCTGTACAAACAACAACAACCGTGTCCGATGTGGGCTCATCAGAGGATGATGATTACTACTATCAAATGAATACACCAACAAGCCTTAAGTCCCAGCGAGACGATTCTCGTCAGCGTCGTTCTGTCTCATTAAGCAAATCCGGCGTACTAACCACGTCATATACACGCGAGGTGGAGAAGCCGCATTACGAGGAAGAACCCGACGAAGAGCCAGAGGAGCCACAAAGTTATACATATCAGCGACCTCAGGCGACTACTACAGCACCTGCATTCAAGCTACCCGTATATGAGCAGCCCATTGAACGCAGCTATCGCCCAGAACTGTCTCGGCAAAATTTGACCCAAACACAGCTGAACTCAACCAGCTATTCTGAAGCACCTAATGAATTCACTGAGACTCGCATGCAACAGGCGTATCGGAATACTTACAGTGGCTCAGCGGCGCCTTTCAATGCGGCTAATACAACAACAACAACATCAGGAATACGACAGCGTCCAAGCCATGTAGAAACCGGTGCTGCCAGAGCACGCTTGCCCACGTACAAGGTCAACACATTGTATCCCCAGCTGAATGATTTCTACGATCAGCACAACAACTCTATTGAGCCGATGGACACAGAATCGGATAGTGAATACGAGCCGGAAATTCAACGCCAACCCCAGCTGCAGCGTTCATCTGGCGGCAATGTAGAATCGCCCTACTTGAGTCATTTTTCGCGCCAGCTGGATACAAGGAAGAGATCCTCACCGTTGGCCAGGCCTCAAATACGTACAACCGTTCGCCAAGAAGATCCAAATGCTACCAGGCAGAAATTTCGAGAACTGATGGAATCCCTAGATCGTCAATATAATCTCAAGTTTTATTTCTGTCTAACGGTGGCAGTCATATTAGCCACGTTAATATATGTGATAGTCACTCCTGCTGTCTAAAGCAATATGAGAACATCTCTATATGATTATGCATTAATATTAATCTGTAAAAGAATTGTATGTTTTTACATATTCCACATAAATTATTTCTAGAAAGTTCTCAACTTTTGGTCATGGCTTAACTTAGAATATTCTTGTGTACAGAAACTGTATTTAAAATTGCTATAAATGCATATTAGATAAATAACGAACAAAAAATATATTACTGATTCTATATAAAAATAAATAATTTCTGACTGACATGATGAAATCAGAAGCATCTTAAAAGATAACCTCAAAAAAATAAGATTTTTTGCAACTTGCTAACTAAATATTTTCTTCGTATGTTTCTTGATTAGATCTTATGTCTTCTTTTTGCCTATCTATAATAATATAATTGTAGCACAGAATTTGGTATTTCATTGTTGCTATTAAATTATTAAATAAAACACGAGAAAACCAATCCAATAGTCTTCAAAATAATTGACTTGCTGTCAGCTTTTTTTTTTAGACTGGGAAACCAGAATACATTTTTAGTTTCAGAAAAAATTTTGATATATCCTTAAAACAAACTGCAGCCTTTTGGTTATTGACGGTTTTCGATATTTTGCTTCTTTTTTTTTTTAGGCTAAAATTTACTTTAATTATTTTGAAAGATAAATTTGTTCCAATGAGACAATGAAATTCATCGTTAGCCTTGACTCTTCTGAACAATTTTTCCTCATTCTTAATCGTTTTCATTTTGTTTTTTATATTTTTATATATATAATTAGAAAAATGTACTACATTACAATTATTTTATTAAATAAACTAGTTAAATGTAAATCCTTTTGTTTTTCAGTATCCTTGTTTTCTTGTGTGTGCTTCAGTTATCGGATTTAGTCTTTATGCTAATATATACAGGCTATTTTAGGGTTGCAACACAAACAAGTGTAAAATCGTAAAGCTTGAAGGAGACGTGGACTAAAAGGAAAATGCAGTAACTGTTAGGCGTAGAAGTGGGCGGGTCGAGGCACGCTGGAGCGATATGAAGGATCTCAATATGACTGCATTAAGAGGGGGAGGAAAAAAACACAAATAATCCCTGGCTCAACAATGGCTCTTTTTAAGCTCTGTTTAATTAAAATGGAACTTAAATTGGAACGGCGAACCGTGCTGGAAGTGTGCGAATGGATCTGCACCTCGGAAACCATGTTGATTGCTCTCCGGGTCCAGGGGGTCTTCGCCGTTATCGAACTGACGACGCTTCTCTGGATCTGTGAGTACTTCCTTGGCCGCTGCAATATCAATGAACTTCTTCTCTGCCAGCTTCTTCTCCTCATCCTTGAAGTTGTCCGGATGCCATTTCTGTGCCGCCTTACGATAAGCCTTTACAATCTCTTGTTTGCTGGCATTGCGTTTCACGCCAAGAATTTTGTAATAATCTCGACGTTCCGCCTGCTTTTGCAGTTTCTTGGCCTTCTGGATGCCCTCCTTGGCCCGTGAATTATTCTCATCGATTTCCAACGCCGACTGATAGTCGTGTATGGCATCATCATACATCTCACTGCCCATCAGCGCCTCGGCACGATCACAATACAGCTGTGCATCTTTCATAATGTCCAGCGCATGCTTGCAGTGCGACAACGCTTTGCCGTACTGTTCGTCTGTGGTGTAGCAGGAGCAGAGCAGCTTGTGCGCTTCATACCGTATCATCGTCTCATCGGGCTCGTGTTTGAGAACCGCTTCGGCAGCAACTATGCACTCGGGAGCCCGCTTTTCCTCTCGTGCGGTCTCTGCTGTCACCAGTTGTTTCTCTACTTTGCGCAGTTTCTTGTAGAATGGAAAGCAGAGTTTGTGCTCGGGATCGAACTTGAGGCATTCGCGGATCTCCTTTAGCGCATTAGTAGCATGTCCAATATTATATAAGAGCTGTGCTATATTATAATGTCCCTCCGTACTGTCCTGCGACAATCGATTAACCTGTCGCAAATCCGCAATAGCCGAGAGTGGATCATTTGTCTTTAAATAGGCGTCAGAACGGGCCTGTCTAAAGGTCACTGACCAGGGTGAGATCTCTAACAACTGTGTTATCATGCCTATGGCATTTTGTTCATCATTATTGTTAAGCAGACGCTGCACCAGCTCCCACTGTTCCTTGGCTGGCCGCACTCTTGCATAGTGCTCAAGCACAAGACTATTTTGCGGTTCCTCTCGCAGTACAAGCTCAAAGTCCTGTAGTGCGTGATCATAGTCTCCGCTCTTCATGTGCACAATACCACGCTGACTACGCGCTGCTGTAAAGTCCGGTTTAAGCTCCAGCACTCGGCTGAAGTCCTGAATGGCAAATCGTGTCTTGCCCAACGCAAGGTAAACGGTGCCACGCTTGAAGAGCGTCAAATAATTATTGGGATCGCCCTCTGTAAATTAATATGTGTTCTGATTTCAAGCGTATTAATGCAAAATGCCCAATACTTACCCACAGCTGCATGATAATGCGTCAGTGCATCCGAAAGTTGACCGCGAGCCAGAAAGTCTTTGCCTAGCTCCAGATGGTTGTCAATGTCCGCCTGACTTGCCGATGCCGCATCAGCGCCTGCATTGAATGACGTGTAACATAGCAGTTATTTTGTTATTTGTTATCAGTTTATGAAAATTGCGATTAAAGACTAAATTAGAGATAGACTCGTGTCATTATTGTTTAAGGGGATATATTTCGTTGATTTGTGGTATTATAGAGCACATTCATGTCTGGTAAAACTGCAACTCACCTTCCATGAAGAGCTCCACAAGCAGCAGCAGGACGCAGGCAGCCAATTTCTTTTCACCGCTGCCAAGCAGCAGCAGATCGCTCAATGGCAAAGCCATTATGCGTGTATGTGTGAGTGGGTGTGTTTGTAGGCGTCTTAACCAGTTGTTACTGAGCGTCTAGGCCGATTATTTTTATTTAAATGCGTTACACACGTCACACGTTATAGCGTGGCAGCCACCGTCTAGCTCTTCCTCCGATTGTCTATGTATCACAGCAGCTAATCTTTACCGTTGCACCTGCTTACTTGATGCTATTGTTTGTTGTTGTCGCACTTTCTTAATAGTTTTATCCGTTTTTGAGAGCAAAAGAATATTAAAAACTTGATCGTTTCTTTGTTGAATAATCAGATAAATAGTACTACGCAATTTGTTGCTTTATGTCCATTCCGATCGGTAACCGACTCGCTATTACACTTTAGCAATTACGTTTGCCTCAATTTTGGTAGAACTTGCTGCTTAAAAACCTAAACACTGACGTGTTATGCGAGCTACAACAGCCCGAAAAGCGGTGCTGCCAGACATCTTAGCGGCATCTGATTTTATCAACTTCTGGCAGCTCCATGAAAAACAGGGCTGTTATTTAGTGTTCACCGAACCACTTGCGATAGCTATCGCACCCATATTTCAAATCAAACGTTATCCAAACATATTAAAAACTTTTGTATCAATTTAAATTGTATGTATGTATAACGAACTCGAATTTAGTAAATAATGTATATTTATACATATTGCACTACCACACTAATATATATGATGTTATTGATATATGTTTTTTCTGCTCATAATTGTAAATGTAAATATGTGTGTTTAATTTCTTCTTTTTTTTTTTTTAAATAAATGCAATATCTTTTTTGAGCATTAGCTTAAATACATTTTTATAACATTTTTCTATCACTAAAATGGTCATGAATTGTGCATTCTGTGAAAGACATAGACATATGTTTGTAGGTATTCTAGATTAAAGATTTGGATGGACAAAATAGTTTTTATATGAGCTTAAATACGGCTTTTAAGGAAAATAGATTTAGTTAATGAAATTTGCCTACAGAGTATAAAGCTTTCATACAACCGTACCCTGTGCATGATCCATATTGAAATGTGTATAGCTAAATATAATGAAAGTCTAGTCTTATGATAGGATTTAATGGAGGGTCTACGATTTAAAAATTCTTTGTTGGGCGCTACTTTTTAAAAGCGATGTCACCCTTAGAGTATCATAGTATTTCTTTTGATGCTTTGCTAATGGAATAATTATATAGTATTCTTTCTGCTGTTCCACTTGGATTCTATATCATTGGTACAATTTAGTTAATCACAATATTGATCAAATCATCCAGCGTATCCTTAGAATGCGACTGGTCGCCATCATGTGCCTTCTTCATGTGAGCTGAAAGACAAGAGAGTTTATATATAGAAAAAACATTTAATTGATTCCCATGCCGAGAATAGGTACTTTTAAATTTTATGTGAGTGACAAATCGCTCTTGGCACAGATCGCATTTATAGTAGGTATTGCCTGTGTGTACACGTTGATGCAACCGTAATGACTTCTCAAACAGATACGCCCGTCCACAGGTCTCACACTTGAAATTCTTCTCAAGAACTACAAATATATAAATATTATATAATATATATTAAAAAAGTAATTCTATTTTCGGATTTGCATACTAAGTATACCTCGAAGACAATAGGTAGTTAAGACTTTAATTAAGTTTTAAGAGATGGAATAGGTCTTGCTTATGTATGAAAGCATTTGAAACTCTACTGTTTCCGGTAGAAGTTTTTAGAAACCTGAGAATACAAATTTAAAGGAGATAACTCACCCTCATGACTGCGCATATGCTGAGTTAGGACATATTTCAAGGCAAAAGCCTTGCCGCATACATCGCACACATTAGGCTTCTCATTGGCATGGGTCTTCATATGCCACTTAAGATCCTGAGCACGCTTATAGCGCTTGGAGCAGTGCGAGCAGGCATGCAGCCGATCCGCTGAGTGAACAGCCATATGACGCTCTAAGGCGGACTTCATGTTGAAACGTTGGGTGCAGCTGCCGCACTGGAAGAGACCCGTATATTGTCGTTCCCGTTTGCACTGGATCACTCGCTTATTGTTCGCAATGATCGGAGCCGAGGAAGTTTCACGCTGTACATGCTCCATGGTCATATGTTGGATGAGCTCCTGTTCCGTATCGAACTCCTGGCGACAGGACTGAAACATGCACTCGCTACGCTCCTGGTGCGTTAGATTTTCCGTGTGCAGCTCAAGCATATGAATGCGCTTCTCCACATAGGAGGCAAACACTTTGTGGACGAGATTTAAGAGATAGTCAATATTAAAGTAAGCAACAGGAATCCGTGGATCATAGCACTAATTTGTGGGGGTGTTATGTAACAACAATTGGGTATTAGTGGCTTGCATGCGGCGCTCCAGGGTTGTGGACATTTTATACTCGTTCACAATGTGGCCAAGGGTAATATATATAGTTGTCAAATTAAATGGCAATTTTACAAAATATGACAATATTTTATGTTTTCTTTTTTTTTTTTCTTTTTTTTTTTAATAAAAATTGTGTTCTTGTGGCCAATAAAAATCTTGACATTATGAATTGAAAGTAATAATATCCATACATTATATTAATTAAAGATTACTTTCAAACATAAATTTTGGAAC